AATTTTCATCAGCTGATGAATGGATAAACGAAATTAAGTATATCCATGCAATGGAATATTATTTGGCAATAAAAAAATGAAGTACTGAAACATGTTACAACATGAAAAGGCCTTGAAAACATGTTAAGTGGAAGAAGCCAGTCACTAAAGACCATATATTTTATGACTCTGTGTATATGAAATGTCTAGAATAGGCTAATCTATAGATATAAAAAGTAGACTAATTGTTGCCAATGGCTTGGGTTGGAAGTGAAGAGCAGGGGAAATGGAAAGTGACTGCTAAGATACACAAGGTTTCTTTGGGAACAATTTCTAAAATTCAACTGTGATGATAATTACAGAATTTTTTGAATGTACTTGAAAACCACTGAAGTGTACTTCTTATTTTATTTTTGAGAGAGAGTCTTGCTCTGTCATCCAGGCTGGAGTGCAGTGGTGAAATCAGGGCTCACTGCAGCTTCGACCTCCTTGGGCTCAAGTAATCCTCCCACCTCAGCCTCTCAAAGTGCTGTGATTACAGGCATGAGCCACCGCACCTGGCCTGAACTGTACTTTTAAGTGAATATGTTTTATGGTATGTAAATTATATCTCAGTGAAGTTGTTAAAAATGAAACATGCCTGAACCCAGCAGGCAGAGGTTGCAGTGAGCAGAGATTTCACCACTGCACTCCAGCCTGGGCAGCAGAGCAAGACTCTGACAAAAAAATAAAGAAACACAAAGCTACAGATTAAGAGAAGATAATTGTTAAATATGTGTCTGATAAAGACTGTGTCTTTACATATAAAAATACTCTTGATAATATGACAATTCATTTGATAAATGCTCAAAATATTTGAATATATTTTTTACAAAAGGAGCTATATAAATGGCTAATAAGAGCATGAGAATATGGTCAACATCATTAATCACTTGGAAAAGGCTAATTAAATGCATAATGAGATATTACTACACATACTCTAGAATGACTATAATCCAAAAGGCTGAAAAGATGTGTTATTTAGGATGGGGAGAAATTAAAAACCTCATGTGTTGCTGGAGGGAATGTAAAATGGTGTAATCACTTTAGAAAATAGTTTGTTAAAGATTTATACATGGATTTGCCATACAACCTAGCATTTTTCTACTCCTAGATGTTTGCTCATGAAAAACAAAACTATATCTACGTAAAAATTGTCTATGCATTTTCATATAAACATTACTCAAAATAACCAAACTGGAAACAATCATAAAGTACAGCTGGTGAACAACTGTATAAATTTACTAAAAGTCAGAAAACAATAAAAAGTAAGTTAGTGTTATTCTGCTTAATCAGAGGATAATAGGCTATATAGCTTCAGCCTATGAATGTCTATAGATAGCTGTTCATCCCACTCTTTCATTAAACATTCCAATACATTAGAACTTTTGGCTCCAGACAGTTATTTTGTTCCTAAATTATATTCCTTCCTTATTTGTACTCACAGAATCTCTGGGTTAGAAATCATCATATAAGTCATGTAATCCAACCATCCTTCCAATATCTGAATACCATATGAAGTATTTCCACAAAATGATATACTTGAATAACTGTTGCTAAAGAAATTTTATTTTTTAAATATTTATTTATTTATTTATTTGCGATGGAGTCTTGCTTTTTTTGACCAGGCTGGAGTGCAGCAGCACAATCTCGGCTCACTGCAATATCTGACTCCTGGGTTCAAGCAATTCTCCTACTATGGCCTCCTGAGTAGCTGGGACTACAGGTGTGTGCCACTGTGCTTGGCTAATTTTTTTGTTTTTAGTAGAGATGGGGTTTCACCATGTTGGCCAGGCTGGTCTCAAACTCCTAACCTCAAGTGATCCTCCTGCCTCGGCCTCCCAAAGCGCTGGGATAACAGGCATGAGTCCTTGCACCTGGCCAGGAAACTTTTATTATTCCTGAAGCCAAATCATTCCATTTTTTTTTATTACATTTTAGGTTTTGGGGTACATGTGGAAATCATTCCATTTTTATCTTTTACTGACTGTGAGCAAGTTCTTCCATACAACCAGTATTGTCTCCATGTACTTCTTACTAGTTCTTTTTATTTTAGAAACCACACAAATAAAGTCTAATTCCTTTTCTATATGGCATTTTCCCAAATGTTTCAATTTATCTGTCATTTCTGTTTCACATTTTGTTTCTCTGGACCTCAGTGGAAATGATTGTCGTGGATGCAATTTATTATAAAAATTCCCTATAAGGATAGGTGTATCTGTTATAAGGATTATTAATTATGAGTTGAAATGAATTCAGTAATCTCCATGTGGTACCATGAATATATATCCTTAGTTCTATCATTATGAGAGTCACTGCCAATTTTATAATTTCTACTATTACATAGAATATAGCATGTAGTAAAAGTTTTTGAGCATTGATGTTCAATTTTATTTTTTACTTTTTTAGAGATGGGTCTATTGCCCAGGCTGTCCTTGACTCTTGGGCTCCAGTGATTCTCCTGCCTTAGCCTCCAAAATATAATGTTCAGTTTTATTCCCTAGATTTAGTTTACCATTCCTTGTTGTACCTGATTGTTCTTATATTTAAATATTTATGTTCTATTACAATAAAAACTCTTTTTGAGTAATTTCCATTAATCAACTTTTGAGTGAGGATATAGAAATAGATATCAACAAATAGAACTCTACTATTTTCTGATTATTCTCGATGTCATAAAATATATATAATAAAAAACTTTATAAAAATTAGCTTTATTAAAATGAGCTATGTGGAGAAATTACAACCCTTTTGCCAGTTGGTGAGAATGAAAAATGATGCCACCATGGTGGGAAACAGTATAGCATTTTGTCAAAAAATTAAAAGTAGAATTACCATGTGATATAGCAATTCCACTTCTGGGTATATACCCAAAAGAACTGAAAGCAGGAACTCAGACAGATATTTATATACCCACATTCATAGCAGTATTAGTCAACATAGCCAAAAGGGGAAAGCAACTCAAGTACCTGTCAACAGATGAATAGATAAACCAAATGTGGTATATACATACACTACAATATTATTCAGTGTTAAAAAGGGAGAAAATTCTGACACATGCTAAAACATGGATGAAACCTAAAGACATTATACTAAGTGAAATAAGTCACAAAGAAAAAAATGGTCTATGATTTCTCTTATATGAGGTATCTAGAGTATTCAAAATCATAGACAGAAAATACTATAGTGGTTGCCAGGGGCTGGTGGGGACAGGATATGGAATATGGGTAGTTATTGTTTAATGGGTATGGAGTTTTGGATTCAGGAGATGAAAAAGTGCTGGAGGTGGATGTACAATGTGAAGGTACTTAATGCCACTGGCTGTACACTTAACGGTTAAACTAGCTAATTTTATGTATATTTTATTACATGTAAAAAAAAATCCAAAATACATTCTCCTTAAAAATGGTTTATATTAGAAAAATAAATTTCTCAGAATTGCAAAATAGGAGAGATAGTTTAATACGTCTTGTTCTAAATGAATCATTAATATATTTTTGTTATTCTCAAGGTAACTGATAATAGCTTAGTTATAGTAATTACCAGTATAAAATTGTACACCAGCACACTACTATAAATACTAGTTAAAAACAAATCTATAATCATAAAATTAATTAAATCAATTGGACTTTCATTCTAAAGATTGACTATTTCAATTTCTGGAATTCTGATTTCTCTTCTATGTCTTCATAATTCACCAAACTACACTGACATTAGCTTTGAGATACACATTTGTCTCCAGTAATTAGATCAGTCATTTGTTTACACCTTTAGCAATGAATTAATTTTCAGTGAGAAAAGTATTGTCTTAAGCTTTCAATATCCTTTAGCAGTATTTTGCTTCCATTTATGCTTTTTATGATAATTATTCACATTAGGAGAGAAAACTGAAGTCAGAACTTGGCAAACCAGATTTATTTCTCCGTTAACATTTTATTATGGCAAAAGTACATGGAGTTACTGTAGGTTTTAATAAAAAACATGATAAATATATTTTAAGCTATTGTATCTTCTACATGCATATGTTGGTAGAAGAAAGCAATGGATAAAGTAGGGTGGCAAGGTTGTTAAATTATTATATGTAAATGAATCACTCAACAACCAAAAGAATCAACTAGTGATGTAAATGCATGCTACTTCTTCAGCACTACGATGACTTCTAAAGGTGATACGGTAAAATGTGTGGTATAGTTTTTATACCCTCAAGAATAAAATATAATTAGACTAATATTATGCAAGAAAAAAGTACTAAACAAGAAAACTTTGGAAATCATTACAAAATCTGCGATTTTGAAATCTAAGCTGTAAGTGCTTTAGGATTTAAGAGAACAGTAGATAATACTGAGAGTTGGAATAATTATGAAAAAAAAATCAAGTAAAAGATCTAGGGTTTGATTTGCAAAGGAAATAAAAAGGGTGCTTTCATATTAGGAAAAACATGAGTACAGAAACGTGCTAAGAAAATGGAAAGTCTGGTTATAATTTTAGAATAAATATTATAGATTTCCTTATGCCTGTGTGGTAATAAAAAATTTAAAACTAGAATTACTAACCTCAGATCCAAATTTAAAGTGTTGGGGTGTGAGAGTTTCAGTGAGCCTCCTTTAACTAGTGTGTGTGTGTGTGTGTGTGTATGTGTGTGTGTGTGTGTGAGAGAGAGAGAGAGATTGGAGAAAGAATTTCTGGCTTTTCTAAAAGTTTAAGTTACACTGAATTGCACAAACATTGATGTAAAGTTTGACAAACCTTGAAGATGTTATAATTACAGTTTTTGGTGACTTGGAAGGTCAATTCTGGGGGTTTGTTCAGTGATGAAAACATTTAGGCAACAGAAACAAATATAGCTCTTTGTCAAACAAATTTTATTTGAGGAAGATTACAATTGTTCTCTACAGTAACGGCAAAAATAGAGCAACTTGCAGAGAAGTTAGTAAGTTAAGTAAACATTTTGTCTTTGGCAAAGCTTGTCATTTGCATATTTCTTATCTCTTGATTAAGAAGACTCTTGCAGCCAACCTTTTAAAGGCTTCCTTTACCTCTTTGTTCCTAAGTGTATATATAAGGGGATTCAGCATGGGTGCAATGATTCCATAGAAGAGAGAAACCATCTTTCCCCGGTCCTTGGAGCTGGGTGAAGGTGGTTGCAGGTACATGGAGGTAGCTGTACCATAAAAAAGTGACACCACAATTAGATGGGAGCCACATGTCCCAAATGCTTTTCGTCTGCCTTCAGCAGACTGTATTCTCAACACTGCTCGGACTATAAAAGCATATGATGTAAGGATGAGTGTCAGGGGTATTAGATGGAATAGCACACTGACAAGGAATAGTTCGGCCTCATTTGCTGTTGTGTCAACACAGGACAACTTGAGCAATGCAGGGACTTCACAGAGAAAGTGATCTATCACATAGGGGTCACAGAGTGGCAGCTGGAGAGTCAGGGTAGACAGCCACACTGAGTTACCAAAACCAGTAATCCAGGATGCAGCTGCCAGCTGGAGGCAGAGCGCCTGGTGCATAAGAACCGAGTAGTGGAGAGGCCGACAAATAGCTACAAACCTATCAAGGGACATGACGGCCAGGAGAAGACATTCAGTAGCCCCCAAGGCCAGAAATATGAAAAGCTGGGCCACACAGCCCCCATAACTGATCACTTTCCTGATGCTGCATAAATTAACTAGCATTTGTGGGACTGTACATGTGGTGTAGCAAAGATCCAGGAGTGATAGATTGGTAAGAAAAAAATACATGGGGGTGTGGAGTTTGGAGTCCAAGCGTGACACTAGAATAATGGTCAGATTGCCGAAGATGGTCACGATGTAAGAAATCAACAAGATCACAAAGAGTGGAAATTCCAGCCAAGGTCGATCTGAGAAACCCAGCAGGATAAACTCCTGCATGATGCTCTCATTTACCCAATTCATGATTCGTGTTTCAATTCTTGGTTTCCTGAAACAGAAAAATTCAGGAAGTTAATTAACATATGTTTGTTAACTATTTTAGTTACTTATAGTCATTTTACTACCTGTTTGAAGATATTTACAGAACTGATATTGCTTGTTTTATAACATGAAAAATATACAGTTGAAAGTACTTATAATTACCAAGTATTTCTGAAATTGAATCTATGTCTGTATCATCACTGCAAAAGTGAAAGCTAAAATTTAAAAAGATTCCTGATTTAAACAACTTTCACAAAATGTGTTCTTTAATTTTTTGTAATTTGGTTAATCTTTGTAGTACTTTCCACATAGATAGCTATTATTAGATTCAGTCATAATCCCTAACACATTATTTTTTTCACTCTAATTTCTCAATGTTAAGGAGACTGCTTTGTCATTTGAAATATTTTGGTAGTTTCTTAAATTTTTTTAATTTCAATAGGTTTTGGGGGAGCAGACGGTGTTTGGTTACTTGAATAAGTTCTCTAGCAGTGATTTCTCAGATTTTGGTACACCCATTACCAGTCATGTACACTGTACTCAATGTGTAGTCTTTCATCCTTCAGCTCCCTCCCGCCCTTTCCCCCAAGCCCCCAAAGCCCACTGTATCATTCGTATGCCTTTGCATCCTCATAGCTTAGTTCCCACTTATGAGTGAGAAAATACGATGTGAAACAATTAAAATTATTTAGACCACCTCAAAAATTCTGTGTATAAGCTCTAGCAAGCTATTAGACACATTTCAAAGAAACATCTTTTGCTTTTTAGGACCTTATCAAATTGGAATGAAAAGACATTAGTAGCATGGAATTTGGAGGCAGACAAGTCTGGGTCCACATAAGTCATTAGTTATATCCTCCTGGGAATATTTCTCATTCTCTGTGAGCTTCAAGCTCCTCATCCATAAAATAAGTATAATAATGCCTTCCTGGGATAGTGGTACAAGGCGTAGACAAAAGGAACTGTAGTCATCCTCTGATGCTCAGAGGAAAATTATATATGATTTTCAGAACTCTAAATGTCCTAGGGTTGCCAATAAAAAATGGCCCTGTGAGTTAAAATTTATCTTATTCCCTCCAAAGCTCCAATACCAGCAACTTTGACAACAGAGGTAATAGTAACTATCTGATGTGAAGTATAAATGTCATCTTTAATGTAAACTGACTGGCATAATGCCACACAGCAATGTGGATGAAAGTATCATATGGTACAGGAACTCTGCGACTTTCAGGGCAGAGGCTGTTCAGAGCCCTAAATTTACCAGGTACTAATATAAGTCAAAGCTACCAGTTGAAAATTTCCAGTCATCTATCTTACTAATGCCAACTTCTATTATTTTATTATTATTTTGTTAGTGTAAAAATGTAAATTTAAGGATAGGATCATAAATTTTAAATTATTATTAAATGTGTGTTTTAATTTTTCTCACTTATTCTACAGTTTTCAGTATGGAATGGGAGGGGATGCATTTATAGTCTCTCAAGTCCTAGTGCTATGCAGCTGCAGTAAAATTAGGTATGTGGTACAGATATAAATTCGGATATAGATATAAATGTACAAAATTACTCAATCCTCAAGGAAAAAACCAAGTTTCTGAACATGTATTTAGCATGCTTTCATGTTTATGTAAGGGAATGTAAGATATTGGTCAGTATTCATATATGTATAAAATTACCTGAAATTACACAAAAGTGGTAAAAGTTGTTACTTCTCGAGAATGGAAATTGAAAGAGAGACAAAATCAGATTTTAATATTTAACTTTATAATTGATCTTTCTAATTTTTAACAAATACTATAATGCTTTTTATTAATAATAAAAATTATGTATTACATAACAACTTTAAGTGAGAACACATTCATACTCTATGTTTTACTATAAAGACAAGCACTGCTTTAGACTTCAATACTGTAAAAATTCCTACATGAATTTAGGCTTTTACCTCTTAACAGATTTTAAAAACAGAATCTACATTAATCTACGTGGGCATTTTCTAAAGACTGGAAGGCAGGGGCATTGGGCATTAGGCATCTTACTGACAAAAAACCAGAGAGTTGCCATTCATTATAGGAATTCTGAAAAGCAGAAGAAGTGAAATCCATAGAAAGACATTTCACAAGTTCACAATTAAGTTAACAAGTATTGGAAAATACCCTCTCTGTATAATTAGTGTGACTGCATGTCTCAGTTTGCCCAGGACTGCGAGTTTACTCCTGCTGTTCTGACACAATTACTAATAGAACCCCTCAATTTTCAGAAGGGTTCATGCTTGGGTGATAAGTTATAAGGGTTCATGTTTGTGTGATAAGTTATAAGGGTTTATGTTTGGGTGATAAGTTATAAGGTCTCTCTAGCTGTAATATTGGAGATTGAAATAATTTTCAAATTATTGTCAAGAGATACCTCATCACTGAGGGCACTGCACATGCTTTCTCCTAACTGGGGCCAGTGGCCTTCCCTGACCAGCCCTGTATCTGGTATTTCTCTGCTAGAATTCTGCCAAAAACAAACTCTCCAAGAAGCCCTGACTAATGAAAATTATAGAAGGGAGGAATGCAATTAATTTCTTGCTCTTTCTCACTGAGGTTTAGCAATTACAAATGTATTAAATGCACTTCCGTTATACGTAATGTCCATGATCCACAGCAGTGAAGGCACAAAGAAGGGAAAATAAAATACAAGCATTGGAGAAGGCCGGGGGATGGCAACAGAGGGCCAGAGGGCAGTGCAGAACGGAAGTGCTGGGGAGACTGCAGTGCAACTCATTGTGATACTCTGCTTTGCTCACTTTCGGGGCAAAATTTCCCCATCTTTCAAACATCCAGTAACCTCAATACATGTCCACTCTTAAAAAGAAAACTTCTGTCAAAAAGTTGAAAAATTGACTGGGTGTGGTGGCTCATGCCTGTAATCCCAGCACTTTGGCTGGCCGAGGCAAGTGGATCATCTGAGGTCAGGAGTTCAAGACCAGCCTGGCCAACATGGTGAAACCCCATCTCTACTAAAAATACAAAAATTAGCCTGTTGTGGTGGCACATGCCTGTAATCCCAGCTACCCGGGAGGCTGAGGCCTGAGAATCACTTGAACCCGGGAGGTAGAGGTTGCAGTGAGCCGAGATCATGCCACTGCACTCTAGCCTGGGCAATGGAGTAAGACTCCATCTCAAAAAAAAAAAAAAAAAAAAAAAAGTTGAAATATTATTTTACACATGGAAGATTCAAATAACTTGAATTGTTATTCTTATCACTATCATTGGATAGGAAGAACTTGCTAACAATGGAAACGAGTAGGGAACTTGTATCTCTGAAAACCTTGCAGATGGGCTAACCAATTATTTACCTGACTACACCTATGCTGATGGTGCCCAGTCGTGGCTGAGGCTTCCAAAGGCCGCACAATCTATTCCTCTGGTCCTGAAAAGAATTCTGTTTACAGCGTCTTCAGAGGATATCATTCTCATTTTCAGTAACAAGCTTTCCTTTGATCAACATAGAAACATATTTTAATAATGTGACAATAATGGACAAAAGGGGTCCAGCAGCATAGCAACTATGTTACAACTGCAGGTAAGAAAAAATGAGTATCAGGCCAGGTGCAGTCTCTCCTGCCTGTAATCCCAGTATTTTGGGAAGCCGAGGCTGGCAGATTGCTTGAGTCCAGGAGTTTAGGACCAGCCCGGGGAACATGGCAAAACCCTGTCTCTACTAAAAATACAAAATTAGCTGGGTGTGGTGGCATGCACCTGTAGTTTCAACTACTCAGGAGGCTCATGTGGGAGGATTGTTTTAGCCCAGGAAGTTGAGGCTGCTGTGAGACGTGATCGCATCCCCTCACTCCAGTGTGGGCTGCAGAGACCCTGTCTCAAATAAACAAAACAAACAAAGCGAGTATTGTAAAAAGCAATGGTTGAAAAGGGTTATGTGGATTTTTAGAACTTTCATCTATGCATAACTCAGGCTATTTCAGTTGTATTATCTGAATAAATACAATCACCATCTATTTGCTTGTATATTAGTCGGCACTGCATCCATCATCTGATCTATCTGTGTACATACTGAAGTTTTTCAGCACATGGCTGACAGGATTCACAATGATGAGGTTCAACAAAGTCTTGAAAATTTCATTTTAAGCTGTTTACTATGGAACGAGCATTGAGATAAGAAATATGACAAGAGCTGTGGTTTAGATGCTGCTACTAAGTCACTTAACAACTCTGCAATTTACTCAATGTTGTTGGGAAGCAGTTTACTACATTTTAACACAAGAGTTTTCTGTTTTCCATTTGACATAACAATTGTTTGCTTCTAAGTTTTCTGTAATTGTCACACCTCTGAGAATGTATAAAAAGCTTTACAAATACTACAGTGAACCCATGTTCCTGCTGGAGTGTAAGCATAAATACTAGAGTAATTTTTTTTATGTACAACATTGCAATTTGGCTTAGATGAGACAGAAAAGTTTGTCAATTTTTTTTGTCTCATAAAAGGGTTAATTTTTCAGATAGAAATCTGAATTTAGAGGTTCAGAGAGATTCCTTTCACAAGCGAGCACATAGCAGACAGAAGGTTCAAATCCAAGACTGCTGTGCTCTAAAGTTTTAATTTCCAGTAGAGATAATAAAACATTGCAAATGGCAGTATGAAACAAATAAATGGAATTAAGAAGCTGAGGTTGAGTCAAATTTTTCTCAGTGAGATAATGGTAAACAGTCCATAAGTGCTCAGAACACCCAAATTTTAGCAGGTTTTATATAATAAATTTCAGAAATGTATTCTACCTACCTCTAGATTAAGCATTAGTGAAAGTATGATTTGTGTGTCCAAGAAGCTTTGAATTCATATAGGATGAAATGGAAGAATGTAGATTCAACAACCTCTTCACAAGCCATTAATTATAAAACTGATATGGCGAAGTTTGTTCACTTTTCTCTTGTTTCACTCTGTAAGTGGTAAATTACGAGCTCTCCATTGGGGTTTAGTTTA